TTTTTTTGTCTTTTTGAGACAGGGTCTCACTACTCACTTTAAACTGGCCTTGAGCTCACTTTGTAGCCCAGGCTGGCCTCAAATTCACAGGGATCCTCCTGCCTCAGCCTCCCAAATTCTGGGATTACAGGTATGCGCCACCATGCCTGGCAGTCTCTAGGTTTTCAGCCCTGTAAAACTGTCTGAAGGCTCAGTGTGCTAACTCTGTCTTTCATTTTTCTTCAAACAGGAACATCTCTCAAGCATCAGGGCATTAGTGGGGGATGTGTTTCAGAGGCAGCCTCTTTGAACAGTCTGACGGCATCAGGTCTCTGAGGCAAGGTGAGGAGGAAGAGAAAAACATAAACACAAGCTTCCGCTGGTGAGTTTGCCATTAAAGTGTTTCCTACACTGGACAGTGTTAGTATGTGGGGTTTTTTAATCGCGCCGAAAGTCTGAGTTGTGACATGGAAAGGAGCACATGGCTGTCGCAGCACCGCTTTCTGCTGTTGGGACCTCGAGGCCAGAGAAGTCTGGGCTGGGCATACGATATATGATGTGTCCTCTGTCAGGCGAGCACTTCCAGGCACTGAGTTCATTGTGGGCTTATTCCAGTTTGTGGGTATTTTGTTCTGCTATTTGAGACAGACTCTCCCTTTTTTTTTTGTCTTTTTTGAGACAGGGTCTCACTACCCAGTTCAGTCTGGACTTGACCTCACTTTGTAGCCCAGGCTGACCTTGAACTCACCGTGATCCTCCTGCCTCAGCCTCCAGAGTGCTGGGATTACAGGTATGGGCCACCACGCCCGGCTTCCCTCTGTGGTTGAGGCTGGCCTTGAACTCACTCTGTAGCGCAGGCTGGCCTGGAACTCATGGTGTGTGAGGTGATGACAGGTGTGCACCACCACCATGCCCAGCACAAATTTGTGAGGTTAGGGTTTTCATGGTCTGCATTTGTAGACGGGGAAGACACTCAAGTTTGATGAAGGGTGACAAGCGTGTCTTTATTATGGGACTCAGAGGAATGGTAACAGAAAATAAATCCAAGCAGCAGTCCTAAAGCCAACACTCCGTGCAAGGAAGAAGGTCACTGCTACTTCCAGGCTGATTCCAGGTCAGGAGACGGGGGCGCCAAACATGAAGACATTTTGTTTCCTTTTTGTCCTGTAGGAGACCATGGCAAGTGGTGCCATGGGTTCCCCAGAAGTGATCCTAGTTCTTGAACATCTTGGTGAAGAAGCCTACTTCTTTTTGTTTGGTTGATTTTTTGAGACAGATTCTTACTATATAGTTTAAGATAGCTTTGAACTCAAGATGTAGCCCTGGCTGGGCTCAAATTCTCTTTTCTTTTCTTTTCTTTTTTTTTTTTTTTTGAGACAGGGTCTCGCTATGTAGTTCAGGCTGGCCTTGAGCTCACTTTGTAGCCCAGGCTGGTCTTGAATTCACAATGATCCTCCTGCTTCAGCCTCCTGAGTGCTGGGATTAGAGGCTTTTATGCCACCACGCCCGGCAACTGGGCTCAAATTCTTGGTGATCCTCGTGCCTCAGACTCCTGAGGGTGGGGATTATAGGTGTGTACCACCATGCCCTGCTATTAACTGCATTTTACAAATGAGGAAATTGAGGCAAAAGGAGCTAAGTATGATGGTCCTCAGTTTATAAGGGTCAAGTCATTATTTGAAGCTGGCCCCACTGACTTCACACTGCACCAGGCTGTGGAGTCTATGACTTCCCCAGTGAGGTGAAGCCACCGGGGATGGTCCCCAGGCAGCTGCAAGCTGTGTGCCCCTCCTAAGGACGTGTTACACTCTGGGTGTACCTGTGCCTTTCACAAAATATTGGCTAAGGCGAGACGAAAGGGATGTCCTGGCTGAGATGGGACAAGACAACTTCCTCCCAGTGGTGCTCTGCCAAGCGCCAAGGAGCCCTCTCCCCAGAGGAGCACATGGCCGAGGGTGAGGGGACAAGCAAGTTGGGAGCTGCTCACAAGAAAAGAGTGCAAACTCATCCAGCAACAGCACCTGCAGCCTAACGTCCAGTAGGAGATCTGGAGGTTGTGCACAGTGTGGGCACCTGTAATCCTGGCACTCTGAGGGCAGGGTGATCCCACATTCAAAGCTCAGCCTGGGCCATTTGGTGAATTACTGGGACTGTGTCTCGAAAGTCAAAAAATAAAAAGAGCTGGAAATGTAGCTCAGCACAAAGGCCCTGGGTTCAATACCCAGTGCCAAAAAAAAAAAAAAAAAAAGGGGAGAGAGATCTTCAGAGATCTTTAGAGGTGAAAACGTGAAAATTAAATTTTAACTATTCTTTACATTTTTATTTTTAATTGTTTAGTGAGTAATGTTCCCCTTTACTGTTAGAATAAAATACACCAATACACTATGTAGACTGTTAATCACTCTTTTAATATCAAAACACATAATTATATATGTCAACCTTTTTTTTTTTGTCTTTTTGAGACAGGGTCTCACTCTGCAGTTCAGGCTGGCCTTAAGCTCACTTTGTAGCCCAGGCTGGCCTTGAGCTCACAGTGATCCTCCCTGCCTCAGCCTCCTCCGGAGTGCTGGGATTACAGGTGTGTGCCATCACATCTGGCTCCATGTCAACGTTTAACAGAAAAGTTAGAAAATAAAGTTGAAAGGGTTCCCCACAATGAATGTATTCATTATGTGTCACAAACATGTACTAATAAAAAATAAATTTAAAAAAATCAAACCTAAAGAATTTCCTAGAAAGTAGAACAAGAATACAGAGAGGTGAAAACTAGAACAAAATAGATAAAAAAATTAGAGTATCAAGCCAAAGGGTCCAATATCCAATAATATAAATTTCAAAAATAACCAAGAAAGTGGCAGGAAGAACATGTAAAGAAGTGATACAAGAAAACTGACCAATCTTGAAGCCTCTTGTGTCTAAATTAAAAAGATCTGTGGATGGCTGAGTTATAGAGGGTCTGCTTAGCATGTGGAGGCCTTAGAAGTATAGATTATAAGGACAGAAGCACAGAAATATCCCCAAAATCCAGACAGCTATCTAGAGATGCGCAAACCACCCAAGGGTCCATTAATGGATCCATGGGTGAAAGTCATTTAAAAGAAAAATGAGGCTGGGTGTGGTGGTGCACGCCTGTAATCCCGCCACTCCACTTGGGAGGCTGAGGCAGGAGGATCACTGCGAGTTTGAGACCAGCATGGGCTACAAAGTGAGCTCAAGGCCAGCCTGAACTGTATAGCGAGAGCCTGTCTCAAAAAAAGACAAAAAATTAAAAAATTTTGAAAAAGAAAAAAAAAATGAATTGGACTGGGGGTGTAGCTTAGTAGAGGAGACCTAGCCTCCCATCTGCAAAGAATGAAGTTCTGATGCTTCACGTAAACTCAAAGTGTGGTGTTAAGCAGCCAGGCACAAAGCAGGCGCCCTGAAGGATCCCTTTCTGAGTAACACCCTCATCCGAGCAAAGGGAGATCGGTGGTCGCCTGAGGTGTCCACCAGTGGTGAAGCAGAAGGAGTGGGCAATGACTGCTGAGGGGGTGGGATTTCTTTTTGGGGTGATGAACATGTCCTCGACTGGATTCTAGGGTCCACTGGCTGTACCAAAACATCACTTCTACTTCTTCTTCTCATCTGACGCTGACCAGTGCCTTGTGTGGTTTCGAGTCTCTTGTTTGTAAGAGTCATCAGACGAAGGCCGGGCCAGAGCTCCATGGTGGAGCACTTGCCTGGCATGCCTGAGGCCGGGGTTCTGTCCCCAGCGCTGCCATTGCAACAGGAATGAGACCGAGCGACCGTCTCTGGGAATGGGCCCACTTTATCCCTAAGTCACCGCCTGTGGGGTGAGGATTGCGAATATGAACTGAGCCACAGGACGAGAGTCTCCTGGTGCCGAGCTCGCCCTCCAGGGACACCATGGCTCCTCCGCTGTCCTCCAAAGGCTGAGCGTGGGTTCTTGCCAGGTGACACAGGAGCCCCATTGCTCTCCCTGCTGCGGAGGTCACAGAGAGGCAACGCCCCCCTGTGTGCCTGCAGACATCAACTCGCGGCCACAAACAGCGGGGCTTTCACAAAGCTGCGCGCTCCGTCTGTCATCAGCAGGCCCAGGAGAGGGGAGCCCGCCTAGCCATCCCTCTTCCTCCTGACGCTCACCGGCCGGGCCTCCGAGATCCGCAAATAAAGCCCACCGTGGACAGCTACGCTCTCTGACCCTTTAACCTGCAATAAAAATAAAGCTTGGAGAACGGACCCCAACTCTGGCTCCTGCGGGGTCCTCCTTGCCTCACCTGTTGACAGGTGTCTGCCAGACCCCAAGGTTACCTTTGATTTAGCTGCGGCGGCGGCTCCACCCTGTAATCCTCCGCGAAGCCGTGGTCAGTTTATGTGGTAACCCGAGCCAGAGCCATTTCCTGCCTGCTGATGACGCGGCCGTCTGTTAGCACCTGCTGGAAAGACCGCTGGAGTCCCCTCAGGGCCATGCAGCCGCAGAATGCGTATAGAGCCAGAGCTGCTTGGAAACAAATGTCCTACAAGTTTTCAAAATGGAAGAAGGGGCTGTATTCCCATATAACTTTGTGTAAAGCCCTAAGATGTTGCAGTACTTTCTTTTCAGAGAGCTAAGAGTGGATCCTGGGTTAAATAAAAAATCTGCCAGGCGTGGTGGCACACACCTGTAATCCCAGCATTTGGGAGGCTGAGGCAGGAGGATCGTTGTGAGTTCGAGACCAGCCTGGGCTACAAAGTGAGCTCACAGCCGGCCTGAACTGCACATTGAGACCCTGTCTCAAAAAGAAAAAAAAAAAAGAAAAAAAAAGATCTGCACTTAAACCTATGCGTAGAGGTACACTGCTATAATCCCAGTACTCAGGAGGTTGAGGCAGGAGGATCTTTGCAAATTTGAGGCCAGCCTGGGCTACACAGTGAGTTCAAGGCCACCCTTCAGCTATACAGTGGTATCCTGTCTCAAAAAAACCAAACATAAGGAGGCGAAGGGCTGGGGATAGAACTCAGTGGCACAGCACCTGCCTGGCAAGCACAAAGTCCTGAGTTCAATTCCTGGTACAAAAAAAGGAGGCAGGGCTGGGGATTTAGCTCAGCGGCAAAGCGCCTGCCTGGCAAGCGCAAGGTCGTGAGTTCGGTTCCCGGTACCGGAGAAAAACTAAAAAAAAAAAGGAGGCAAAGAGGGATTGAAGGGAGGATAAGGGGATGAGGGGAAAAAAGGAACTGAGATAAGTCATGTACAGCTACTAAGTCCCTATAATGAAAGTGATCATTATGTACATTTAAAATGTACCAATAACTTAATTTAAAAAACAAACACAAACAGCAAAATTATGATCATATTGTTAGGGGATAATGATGCCTCAGCAGAGGGGTGTGTGTCTGT